AAAACAAGGAAACATGATGAAAAATAGAGAAACAACAATGAAAAATTGTAAAAAAGAAAGGAAAAACAATGAAATATTATGAAAAATAGAGGATACAACAATGAAAAATAATGAAAAATAGAGAAACACCAATGAAAAATGATGAAAAAGAGAGAACAAACAATGAAACATGATGAAAAAGAGAGAAAAAAAACAATGCAAAATGATGAAAAATAGAGAAACAACAATGAACAATGATGAAAAAGAGAAGAAAAAACAATGAAAATCATGAAAAAGAGAGAACAAAGCAATGAAAAATGATGAAAAAGAGAAGAAAAAACAATGAACAATTATGAACACTAGAGAAACAACAATGAAAAATGATCAAAAAGAGAGAACAAAAACAATGAAAAACATGTTCATCATTTTTAATCATTTTTCATTGTTTTTGTTTCTCTCTTTTTCATCATTTTTCATTGTTTTTTTTGTTTTCTCTTTTTCATCATGTTTCATTGTTTTTTCAATCTTTTTCATCAGTGTTTCTTGTTTTTTCTCTCTTGGTCATCATTGTTCATTGTTTTTTGTACCGTTTTTCATCATTTTTCAGTGTTTTTTCTCTCATGTTTGAGTGTTTTTTTTCACTCGTTTTCATCATTTTTTCTTGTTTTCTCTCCCGTGTTCATCATTTTCATTGTTTTTTCTATCTTTTTCATCATGTCTCATTGGTTGTTCTCTCTTTTTCATCATTGTTCATTGTTTTTTCTCTATTCTTCATAAGTGTTCATTGTTTTTTCTCTCTTTTTCATCATTTTTCATTGTGTGTTTTTCTCTCTTTTTCATCATGTTTCATTGTTTGTTCTCTCTTTTTCATCATTTTTCATTGTTTTTGGACCCTTTTTTCATCATTTGTCATTGTTTTTTCATTCTTTTTCATCATGTTTCATTGTTTTTTTTCACTCTGTTTCATCATGTTTTCTTGCTTTTTTCTCTCTTGTTCATCATTTTTCATTGTTCTTGCTTTTAATTTGTTCTTCGTGTTTCCTTGTTTTTTCTGGCATGTTGACTTGGCGTCCTGTTGCTTCAAAAATCATCAGTAGTTTTCTGCACAGGCATGCACGAAATTGACAAGATAGAATATTCAAGGGGGTGTTCTGTGAATTTTTGTGAATATTCTATATTAATATTCTATCTTGTGGTGTTTTTTCCGAGTGGGAGGCCGATGGTAATTTTCTCACTCGCGTGTCTGGTAGTGAAAAATATTCTATCTTTCGGCCGGTCGGTATAAACATGACCAACTATACCAAACCAGTGTGAGCCCTGCTCGGCAAGGCACTGAGCTGCAGCCATGCACGGCACGGTCCAAGTCAATGAGCCTCGACTCCGTCACTTAGACTAGACTGGAAAACCTGGAAAACCACGGGGAGGAAGACTGAAAAAGAATGAAACAAACAAACAAACAAACACATTATTGTAGACTTGTCCATATATGCCGTAGACTGTGTAAATTGTTTAAGCAGGTCTTGACGGTTTTGGAGTCTTGACCGACAAAACTCAGGGGGTCACCAACCATCAAAAAGAGGGATTTGACCTACACGGAATAATGAGGGGGTCTGACCAACACGGAATAATGAGAGACTTTTTTGGAGAGACCTCACACAAACCTGAGGTGCATTCTGGGGAAACAGTTTGCCTGCACTGTTTTAATCTTTTCAGTGGGCGATGCAGTTTTAAGATCTTTTAGGATCAATTAGGCCCCCAACTGCCGTGCGAAGCCCCGGTTAGGCCGAGCACTTGGGCGGCGCCGTTGTAGAAGCTCCTGGAGTGAGCCGACGCCCATTGCGATGATGGGCGCATCCCATGTCGGATAGATTCAAGATGCTTCAAATAAATTTAAGGTGACATATATCTATAATATATATATATATAAATATATTGGATATAGTTGAGAAAGATAGTGAGAAAAAATCGGGTCAATGTATGGGTCAATCATGGTCAATCACCGCATCCCTCACCACTTCAGAATCAATGGGGCGATCATCAATGTGATGATTGAGGATTGAGGATGATTGAGGATGATTGAGGCACTTGAATGGGCATTCCTATCAGCTCATATCGTCCATGTCATGGCAATGTTTGAAACACATCGCTCACACCATCTATCTCCCCGTCCCAGGCACGCTGCAGGGGTAGATTTTCACGACAAATAAGATATGCCAACGCCTAGGGAATGGGTGAACTGCCCAGAAAACTAGCGAAGATCGAAGGTGACTTGTGCGAACAGCAACCGAATGATGCAAATAGAATCACAAGTATTCACATAGATATGATATAATATATAAAATGGAAAGCTTTGAAAAGCAAACGTGACTCAATGCCAAGGACAAACTCCTATCACGCATTTTTTTGGGGGCAGATGTTCTATGATGTTCTTATAACCAGAAACTTAGTGCATCTTCCTGCCCTTCACCCTGGGGGCGCAGGCAATGGCTGCAGAACGGCTGGTGCCAGCATAACAGTGGATCAAGCACCTTGGGCTTTCTGCTCGACTGTTTCAAGTCCTCTACTTACGGCTCCAAAATCTGCAGGGAAGAAAACATGTTCAAATTGTAGTATATAAAATATATTGAAATATGATGCAATATATAAGCAATGTAAGCTATTGAGCAGCTAAAAGATGGAAAGAGATGGAAAGAGATGGAAAGAGATGGAAAGAGATGGAAAGAGATGGAAAGAGATGGAAAGAGATGGAAAGAGATGGAAAGAGATGGAAAGAGATGGAAAAGGAAATGGATGGCAGCAAGAGCATCGGCAAATTCATTCAGCTAGCCCTCCCACCATATGCCATGCCTATGTTGCCAAGTGCTCAGTGCAGCACTTCTCTCCTCGAGACTTCACCTTTGGCCAACAGCGTGTCGCACCATGAGTTGAACGTGAGGGCGTTCTCAGGAACAAAGACATACAAAGACATACAAAGACGCAAGAATACGTTCCACATCTTTCAAGGGCTTCCTGGTTCCATCCGCAGCTTCAAAACAAGATGCGCTTCTCATTCCTGGATCATTTTTCGATTCAGGCTGCAGCACTGCGGCACCTCACAGAGAAACTTCAGGGAATCTTCCAGGAACGGCCTTATCACAAGCTCCAAGAGATGAAGAGATGCGGCTGCATTTGAAAAAACATATTATACACACATATAAAAACAAACAAATAAATCAATGAATAAACAACAATTAATAATTAATTATATATATATATGAATATGAAAAATATCTGATAATAATCTTCGACATTTGCTTTGTCATGTTTTGTCTGCCACCTGGAATCCTGGAATATCCTGGAAGCGACTCAAAAGCCCAAGGTGCTCAAGTTCCTCTTCAGGCAAATCACGCCTTGATCGGTGTCTGTGACATCGTGGGACTAAAAGCTGTGCTACTGACTGTTGCTTTGACGGGCTGCATGTTCACCTCACCAAAATAAATGCACTGATCATGCAACCAAAAACGTTGCAAACAAAACAGCATTTAAATGGATTTACATCATATGATTCAATTATTTAATAGTCAGGGACACAATACCATAGTTGAGGTCAGCATTATTGATATGATTGCCCTCAAAGCCAAAAACATCGCAAGTCCCGGGTGTCCGGAACATTGGAGCAAGGTGGTTGCGTGTTGATGCAGGCAATTGGATCCTGCAAAAAATGCAACCGGCGGATGTTCTAACCCGCACTTTGTTTGGCCTAAAGAGAACAAACATGGGTCAACAGATTGGTCAGAACATTGGTCAAAACATTGGTCAACATTTTAAAACGATGCAATTGATGCCATGGCCAGCCATGGCCATCTCGGCCAGCTCAACACCTCATGGAGTGGAAGAGAATCCGTTAGAGCCGCGGATCTGTGGCTGTTGCTGAGTTTTAAATCGTTTTTACATGTAGCATCTGTGTAAAATATCCAGACCCGTTTGGAGTTTGAATCTTGGTTCAGAACTAGACGCCTCTTGGATCCTCTTGGTACTATCTTGTCGAGTGTAGCTCAAACCAAAACTGGCATGGGAGCCGGTCATTTCGCGAAGTATGCAACAGGACGCAGTTCAGAATGCTGCAGTGGGGTCCTTTCGCAACAACTCAGCACAGCGCAGATGCCATGCCTCATCAGGATAGGAGCAACGCCGCGATGGACGCACTGCACCATGCACTGCCTCTGCAAAAGGCTCTCTTCCACTGCGTTTTTGTTGCCAATGAGGAGCCAGTCCTTTGCCGGCGTCTGGCAATGTCGCCGAAAGGAAGAGGAAAGAAACATGAAGCTCATCTGATAGGGTGATATAATTAGTCGGCACAAACCACATTTAAGATTTGTTTTTGTAGCTTGGAGCATAGCTTGGAGCATAGGATTGCATACCTACAGACTTCAGCGCTGGATACAGTGTGAGGATGTGTGAGGTGCAAAGCATCAAGGGCATTCAAAGGGCCCTTTCCTCCAGCAAGACATCCGCATCATTGCTGTCCCCTCGTCGAGAGGAGTCTCGGCCCAGCCTGGAGTGACAGAATGTGCTCAGAATATCTCAGAATGAACCATCGGAATCGGACATCGGTGATACCATCGGTCACAAACCCAGTCACAGTGGCAACAGCCATAAACAGCCCCAAAGTCAGTGCCTTGAGGCCATGGTCTCGACATCCCCAGGACTTCACAAAGAGTCACAGAGTGCACTTGGGAGGGAAATGGTTCACAGGATTTGGATGGATTTGCTTCGGCACAATTTGTGCAATTCAACCTTTGAACCTGAACGCACTTAGATCACTTAGAACCCGAGTCGAAACACATTGAGCCATCACTTTTTGAACTGTTTCAGAGGGAAATGAGGGTGAATACCGCATATTACCGCATGTTACTTGTCGATGAGTAGCTTTCCTGTCTGTGTTAGGGCGTGCTTGACCTTAATGTTGAGCCAGTCTTCTTTGTTGTACAGTTGGCCTGCATTCAATGATCTAAGATAATCCAATGTACTACAGGAAGTTCCGAACATGTGCGCGTCTCATCTCAGTCCCCACTGTAAAAGTGATGTCAGACCACCAGGTACCCTTTTCTCAGCTTTTCTCCAAAGACAAGCCGTCATGAAAGGGGGCCCAGGAGCGCTCAAGGAGTGCCCAGAAGATGTGACTCGCACTCCGTGCAGAGCCAGCAAAAGCAAAAGGCCACCCTCGGAAAAATAAAGGGATCCAATATGATCCAATCCAAAAATTGGGGAATATAACTAATTGAAACCCAGCCATGTACACTCAATGATAACACTGTTAATACCTAGAGTCTCCAACCGAATACTCTCTCCCCAAGAAATTACAATATCATGTAACATCATATAACACATCTATTAATTAACTAATTAAGATGTTTTTTTTCCGCAAAAATCGGCTCACTTCCAAAGCTCTGGCCGCATGGCGCCTGGGCGAGCTCAGCATCTAGGACTCTCAGCACTCGATCCCTCCTCTGAAGTCTCGGTCTCTGATGCGCCGTAGATGGTCCCTTCACCTCAAACAAACGAACTCAGTTGCGACCCATAAAGGAATTAAAGCATATTAAAACTAACTAGGCCACTAGGCCTGTTGCCTGTAGATCAGGGTTCCCAGACAGGATCTACATTTGTCATTGACAATTGATACTTTAAGGTGAGCGGTGGCGAAAACCCCTATGTCATTCTCTTATAATCTTACTTGTCTTCCGCGCTGCTTCCACCACAATTTCAGCTTCCGCGGATGGTTGGTAAGTTGATTCTGCTTCCGCGGAGCTTCCGCGAAAGCCAGCTCCTCATGAAATCTACAAATTGATTTTGCATTGATGGAAATTGATGGACTTTGATTGTGGAGAATAGTGGGTGATGTTTGGTTTGTTTGTGCAAATATATGTATATGTATATACGTATATGTGTAAATATATAAAAATCTAATACGGTACTCAAAGCGTCTTCCGCAGCCATTCCGCGATCGGACGATCAGCGTCTGCTTCCGCAAGCCCTTCCGCGCGCTTCCGCGGACGTGGGTTTCACTTCCGCGGGCCCAACTTAGTTTAATCCCCAATTAACTGTCTTGGTTGGAGGGTTTTTGACGGTGCTCAGGTCGCGATTTAGAGGAACACCCATCTCTCGCCGAATCTTCCCAAGAGATTCAATAAGTGTCCCAGTTTCGGTGGATATGGTGGCCTATGGGAAACACAAAAATCATCAAAAATCAGCGGCAACAAATCCAGGTCACTGGGCTGATCTTGCCCGTTTCCACCTCCATGACCATGCTCGTTTTCCACCGACGCCGGCAGCGGCAAGGTGCAAAGGAGGTTCACTAATGATAGCGCAGCCTCGCCAAAAGAGGCAGAAGAAAATCGTCAAAAACATCACCCCTACCTAAGCTAGGGGCCCCCGTCCCCCCCTAAAAATAATTTCCAACATTATTTCCAGGGGGGGTCACCTCTGTTATAATTATTTTACATCCTTTAAGTGCAGATACCCAGAAATAATTTCCAGAAACAGACCCCCCTAAATATCATCCAAAATCCATGAAATTATTTCAAGGTCCTTCCACCTAATTATTTTGAGGGGGTTCCACGGGCCATCTCACAAGCAAGCCCCCCTGTTGTTTCATTGGCTGCGTCCGTTTTCAAGACTCCTCGCGCCATGGTTTATTGTGTCCTAATATAAGTCTAACCCGTCAATATAGTTTTGAAATAATTTCGCATATATAAACTTCAAGTGGTCAGAAAAAAAACACCTATCAGACCTTCTCCCCTTGGGAATTCCCGCAAAGTGGTGTTCAATAATTATTTTCATCTTTGTTTTTTTCCTACATATTTCCAATGTTTTCATACTTCTCGCTATTTCTCCCATATTCCCTTCATGTCCTGTCAAAAAAGACGGTGGGAATGAGTGGGAAAGGGCAAGCATTCGGTTTTTATAGGTTTTTCAGTTTTTTTTTCCAAGCCTCTGGGCGAGTTGGGTCGCTCTGGTAGCTGTTTTTTGAGAAGTGCAAGGCATCTCGAATACCCCTAAAATAATTTCTCCCCTTGAGAAATCCCAGGAAATAGTATTCAACCTGGCTCTTTCCTGTAGTGGTTTTTCTAACCTTTCATATTTTCCCTTATTTCGCAATATTTCTCCCATATTCCTTTCATGTGCCTCCAAAGAATTCTCGATGGTAAGCATTCGGTTTTTATAGGTTTTTGAATTTTTGAGTTTTTGTCCAGCCTCTGGGCGAGTTGGGTCGTTCTGGCAGCTGTTTTTTGAGAGGTGCAGGGCATCTCCAATACCCCTAGATTAATTTCTCCCCTTGAGAAATCCCACGAAATAGTATTCAACCTGGCCGTTTCCTGTAGTGGTTTTCCTAACCTTTCATATTTTCCCTTATTTCGCAATATTTCGCCCATATTCCTTTCATTTGCCTCCAAAGAACGATGGTAAGCATTCGGTCTTTATATGTTTTTGAGTTCGTTTCCAGCTTCTGTGCAAGTTGGATGGATGGTCCTGGCAGCTGCCCACTTTGATTTTTGAGGAGTGCAGGGCATCTCCAATACCCCTAAAGTAATTTCCCAAAGAACGTTTTTTGGTTGCGGGTTGCAGATTTGATGCGTTCTTGGTGCAATTTAAATTCAAGGGAGATTCTGAGCTGACTAGGAGGGAGCACACATGAAACATGATGATTGAATTTATTTGCGCTTCCGGATTTGCAACGCATCGATCCCAAAAAAACAACAAGACATACCTAAAAAATAATAGTAAAACGACTTTGCAAAGCCAACATTGTGCAGGATTTCCTGATATAATGTACTTTGTGATTTTCTTCAATTCTGTTTCCGTAGGCTACGCAATGCTACGCATTCCCTTTTGTCGCTAGATTTTTTGATAGGGGTATCCTTCTGTTATTCTGAGATTTCTGATGCATATTGACGGGGCATTCTCTGAAGGCGTCCCTCATATTTCAAAACATGTTTTAAACTTTAAACATTGAGTTGGAGTGGAAGGGGGGGTGGAGAACACTTGTCGTTGAAGCTTGACATGTGGCACTCCCTGCAAAATAACTATGTGAAAGGAGGTCAGAATATTTTTGAAATTATATCATTCTAGGGAACCCCTGGGAAAAGACACTTTGAGGGGGGGTTAATGGAAATTATTTCCAGGTGTTCCTAGGTCAAGTCGATGAATCAAATGTATGTCAAGCCCCACTGAAATAGTTAGTTATGTAATGTTATGTATTATTATTAAGAGGGGGAGGGGGGGTAACTAAAGTAGGGGTGATTGTGAACCAAATGGCTACTGAAGCTTCGGCAGTTTCATTGGACAATGAACAAACATTCTTGACACCACAAAACGGCAGTACTACGATAGGCTCAACCAAAATTATTTCGAAATAATGTTTTGGCACCTGACCCCTCGTTGGAAAATTATTTTTATGGGGTCGGACCCCGTTAAAATAATTTCTAGCCCGGAAATTATTTTTGCATGGTTTGACCTATGCCAGAAGTATATGGTTCTCGCATGAAATTGATAACTATTTCTGGAAAATTATTTTGGTACGTCACCCCCCCTGAAATAATATAGCTAGGGAATATGATTGAAACCCAGCCATGTACACTCAATGATAACACTGTTAATACCTAGAGTCTCCAACCGAATACTCTCTCCCCAAGATATTACAATATCATGTAACATCATATAACACATCTATTAATTAACTAATTAAGATGTTTTTTTTCCGCAAAAATCGGCTCACTTCCAAAGCTCTGGCCGCATGGCGCCTGGGCGAGCTCAGCATCTAGGACTCTCAGCACTCGATCCCTCCTCTGAAGTCTCGGTCTCTGATGCGCCGTAGATGGTCCCTTCACCTCAAACAAACGAACTCAGTTGCGACCCATAAAGGAATTAAAGCATATTAAAACTAACTAGGCCACTAGGCCTGTTGCCTGTAGATCAGGGTTCCCAAACAGGATCTACATTTGTCATTGACAATTGATACTTTAAGGTGAGCGGTGGCGAAAACCCCTATGTCATTCTCTTATAATCTTACTTGTCTTCCGCGCTGCTTCCACCACAATTTCAGCTTCCGCGGATGGTTGGTAAGTTGATTCTGCTTCCGCGGAGCTTCCGCGAAAGCCAGCTCCTCATGAAATCTACAAATTGATTTTGCATTGATGGAAATTGATGGACTTTGATTGTGGAGAATAGTGGGTGATGTTTGGTTTGTTTGTGCAAATATATGTATATGTATATATACGTATATGTGTAAATATATAAAAATCTAATACGGTACTCAAAGCGTCTTCCGCAGCCATTCCGCGATCGGACGATCAGCGTCTGCTTCCGCAAGCCCTTCCGCGCGCTTCCGCGGATGTGGGTTTCACTTCCGCGGGCCCAACTTAGTTTAATCCCCAATTAACTGTCTTGGTTGGAGGGTTTTTGACGGTGCTCAGGTCGCGATTTAGAGGAACACCCATCTCTCGCCGAATCTTCCCAAGAGATTCAATAAGTGTCCCAGTTTCGGTGGATATGGTGGCCTATGGGAAACACAAAAATCATCAAAAATCAGCGGCAACAAATCCAGGTCACTGGGCTGATCTTGCCCGTTTCCACCTCCATGACCATGCTCGTTTTCCACCGACGCCGGCAGCGGCAAGGTGCAAAGGAGGTTCACTAGTGATAGCGCAGCCTCGCCAAAAGAGGCAGAAGAAAATCGCCAAAAACTACCAATCAGGACAGTAACAATACAACGATGACGATGACGACTTTGTCAGAGTACCATACTATAAATATAAATCCCGATAAACATTATGCATATAGTACACATAGAACAAATGCTGAGACTGCGATGCTTGGAACATGTTGAATTGAAATGAAATGCTTAGACTACACGGAACTGTCTCTGCAGTCTTTTCGTTCAACAAATCAAATTGTATCTGAGCCAATCTCAGGCGCCTGAATGTAGAACACGAGTCCATGACCCGCCAGGCCGAAAGTATTGATCGACCATGCAAAAATAGTAGACGTTGCAATGGGGGCAATTGCCTTGCCCACCGTGTCCACCGTCACAGCAAAACCACTGACAATGGCACGATCTGTCGGGCCCGCAGCATTGTTTGTGAAGGCAACGTTTACTGCAAATTGTGAGAAGATGCTGGAGGCTGCAAGCATATGCGCCAGGTTGGCTGTCAGCTCAGTAGTGCAGAAGGGCAACAAGATGGAAAATATGATCCCAAACACACTCACAATGATGGAAGTGCATCGACCACCAAGTTTTTTTGTCAATCTGGGCAACACCAACGAGAAGTAGAAGATACTCCAGACGCCGGAGCGGGCGAGTAAAAAACCCACTTGCTTCTCAGACATGTTCAATCCTCCAACGGCTCGCTCAGAAATCAGCCACAGGGGAACCACTTCAAAGATTGCAAATAGGGCGAAACCCTGGCTGAATCGCATGCAAATGATCAATGGAACAGGCCATCTGCGTAACATCTGTGTGATGGACTGCTTTGTCGCTGTTGTGGCAGATCCCTCCGGCAAATTCTTCACTGACTTGGGGGCCTTCTTGTCTCGAAAGTGCAGCAAACAAAAGAGGCAAAGGGCCAGAGATGCTAGGCATGAACCAAGTAGACTTGGAACAAGCGCTGGAAAATCTGGAATCAATGCATAGGTCCATCCTGAGATCGCAGGACCTATAAGCTGCATGCCATTTCCTGCCGCAATCACTATGCCAATGACTTCTGTTTGGTGTTTCTCGCCGGCAATGCTGGCACAATATGGGCCAAAGATTGCAGGCCAGCCATTCAGCAGACCAAAAAAAATGGAACGGACCAGCATGGCAAGCACCAGCGAAGTGCAAAAACCGAACCTAAGCCGTCCAAAGGGACGACGTTTGGATGCACATTGCTCTTACTCACATGTGGATGAATCAATACCTATGTGAATACGGTATATGCGACGGTTTTTCCAAAAAACTCTTTGCAATCGTCCACTTACCATCGTTTACCAGCTGGATGTTTTGGTGGTCACCAGGGTGCCAAATTCAAATTTCATCAAATTTCCCCATTGCTAGATACAGTGTCACACCACATGCGGCAGATTTCATGCGAGTTGCAGTAGCCCACCTACAAAGAGAGATGCCAAGGTGATGGTCAACACAACATCGAAACCGTAACGCGCAGCGATGTAGCCCCAGACCGACGACATCAGCAACCGCCCGAAGACGTTGGAAGACTGCAGCCATCCTGCCAGAAAGCCAGCTGAATTTCGGTCACTGACCTACTTGAGGTCGGCACAGAGCACACCGGCATAGCCTTAGCTTAGCAGCTTTGAGTACTGAAAGGATTGAAATGGACTGAAACACCAGAAAAAACAATCAGTAAGATTGAGGAAGTGGGACTCTTCAGCAACGGCTCAAAGCGCGGAGAGTGGCAATGGGAACTCAGGATGGTCAGCCGAGTCACTGAACACAGAGCAGACGGTGTAGAAATGACTTGCATCGACTAAACAGGCGAAAGCAATCCGCATTCGCGGCAATTTTTCAGCCATTGCGTCTGGCGTATGTGCGGTTGTCATCCCAGCTACTGTTGAGCCGAGGGGTCGGAGGGGTCACTTTCGGTGTGGTTGGCAACAAATTTCAGAGCATTGGCAGCTAAGAGTCAATCGCAAGCCATCATGTGACTGGTCTCAAAACGCGCCATTTTCTGAATTATCCGTTCTGTCGAACAGGTTACGTCCTGGCATCATGCAGCCATGGACAAGCTTGAAGTATATGGAATGCTTGGTTAGTCACAAGGCACATGAAATTCGTTCTATGCAATGCAAAATTTGCCGCAAAATCAAAGCCATCAAGGCCTATACATTTGCAACAACCTGCTTCCCCTTGTCAAAGCAAAACCAAATCTTATCACACTTGCACTGCCCGCTGGCACCCTTAAAACCTATGCGTGTTGCTCGTGTAGCTGTCAGGTCGTGAGGCTGTCAAGGAGAAAAAAAAGGCAATAATACAACCGCGCCATGATCCAAATGCTGCAGACAAAGCTCAACGCTTCAGCAAAGCAGGGCCGTTATACCCTGCGTATGTCATGGACTCAATCTGAAAGACATTCAAGGCTCCCAGTCCACCATACCCTTGCCACTGATCTTGACTCTTGACAAAGGACCCCATTGATATACTTTGGACTTTTGGTGCAGGCATGGTCAGCAGTGCTCAACTGGATAGTGAGGAATTAAACCTGAAGAATTTGGCAACTTGGGCGTCTTAAGAAGTGCGGTAAACCATGGTAAACCATGGTAAACCATGGTAAACCATGGTAAACCATGGTAAACCGGGCCTCCAAAATGGCAATGTTTAACAGGGATACCGAATGGATAATGATGAACCAATGGAATACCAATGGATTGTCGCCATCGCCAACAAGCTGGGCGCTAGCCGCCAACACTGTTTCAGTGAACGCCTGGGCCACACTGAAAACAAGGTGGTGGTCGGTGGTGGGGTGGCCCCGGAGATTGGTTCCAAGACATGCTGAGCAGCTGGAAAATTCATCAAAATCAAAACATATCAAAACTCATTTTTACAGGGATGCTCAACGAAAAATTGAACCTTACTGAATTTGGATAGTTGTTTGCCGGCCTATCTCTTGTGTGACATTGTGGGACCCAATGTGCAGACTACGCTGTATCGTACATAATTACCCACTTTCTTTCTGATTTTTTGGAGCTTGGAATCTTGCAAACGGCCAAGGCCCAAGTTTTCCGAATCATAGATATCTTGCGGGAACAGAAAGGATACTACTTGGTGGTTTCAACATGTTTCAACCTCAAAAATAGTCACTTGGGATCATCATCCTGATGAAAAAATGAAACTACCAGCCTGGGTCACATTAGTCATATTTATAGCCTTGCAAAACCCTGAAACGAACCAAGGATTCACCTCTCCCACAGCATCAGCCTAGTAGCATTGAGCCTGCAAGGCTGTTCCGAGTTGTGGCGAACAGGTCGGCATTTGATCGATGCCGCACAAGTGGATGTTGGCAATTACCAAATTATGAACGAATCATGAACCGTCATTGCTTCCTGCGGCCAATGGGCTGACTTTTCCTCTGTTGCGGTGCAGGTCAGTGGTTTGGGCATCGTCTTTTTAATCTGAGAGCCAAAGACTCAAGAAACATCAGAATCAAAGAACATCACATCAAACTCCCAGGTGCAAGCTTCTCCCACCTTGAACTCTTTGGAGGAGTGGCTGTTGTTCTAACATGCTCTAGTCATCCGACGGCTCTCATGTTGATTCTGCTGGCCACAAGAAGTTGTTGCAATGTGGCGCCGTTTCATCCGCTGAAGGTATCAAAGCGGCCGGTTACCGCAGTGCGGCAAATGGGGCAAGCCTGACGAACTCACTGCTACTCCCATGATCCACTACAATTTTACATCACGATGAGCTGGTCCTGTCTTGTTTTGGGACGTTCTGGGTAAACTCTCTAAACCATTCTAAATCCAAAAGAAATTTCTGTGCTTTTCATCCGAATCCGCCACACAATTCAGCTATCTTCGGCTCCATGTTGCAATTTTCAAGCGGGTTCCCAACATGTCCCAACCTGGTCTCGGCTTTGCTCCACCCGTTCAGCACAAGAGGTGCAGAAGGCGTGATGCCTCGCAGGAACAATGGACAGCCGCCAGTCCTTTGGTTATGTCTGCTGGTGTCTTTTCACCCCGTCCCTTTCCAGCATTAATTGGAGAACATTGGAACAACATTTGCAGACCAGCCCATACCAACCCCACCTGCAAGGCAGCAGTGCACATGATACAGGACCTCTGGTGAGATGGGGTGAGTTGCAATCTGTGACAGTCTGTCACCTCACCATTTTTCGCATTTTTGGGAACCTGTTTGGAGATGTTTCGAGTGTCAGCCCGAGAGAAAAACATGATTTGAACATTGGCCCTGGACCAACGTGTAAGAAAAACATGTTGCGACCGTCAAGGCGAGGTGATCATAAGGTGAGTTTAAGTGGGTGGGCACTCAGGAGCGCACGATCGTAGCAAATCTTACACACCGCCACCTCCTGGTCGTGACTTATGGCCCAGCCAGGCATGGCGAAGTCACATCTGAGAAGAAAAATGCCAGCCACATCGTAAACTTCAGCAAGTCACCATAAGTCACCAAAACAAGAGAAATTCAATAGTTTTTTCTCAATGTTTTTTTGCCATTCAATATCCATTCAACATAGTCAACCAATGGTTCAATGACCGTCAACCCAGACCTTGTAACTGGCCACCCGCAATGCAACTCGCCGGTCTGCCAGGCGTCGCAGAGAACTCTGGCAAGCCTTCAGAGCCGCGGACGCTAGTTCCCCCCGCTCCAAATCACACCACCTATGGCTGATAGGAAACAAATTTCAGCATATACCCTTTTTTTTTTGGAAAAACATAAGATAACTTATATATATACATCTTATATATAGATCTTATATCATCTCACACGTTGCATATGTTATACATATAGCAGTCCAACGAAGGATAGCCAAGGTAAACCTCTGGATATCGCCTCTCGAAGGGCGGAGTCCCAAGCTGACACTGCCGGCCTCGGGTCAGTGTTTACCCTCTCCGGTGTCGTGGCTGGAAAAATATGGAAAAAATCACCTGTAGATTGAAGTCTTAATGGGAAAAAACATGAAAAAAACATCTATAAATGAGGGATTGTCCATGGCAACGTTTGATTACCAGAAGGTATAATTTAGTTCTACTAGCTTTATCTTTCTGTCTTTCTTTCTGTCCTTCTTTCTCTTTCCCCCTCTCCCCGGATGTCATCAAGTCACCCTGCCCTAGTCGTAGTGTACAGTTAAGTCTGGCATCCTATTCATCCCATAATCTGAGTAGTATCCCATCATTGTCTCGTCATTATGCCATTATCCGATCCCATTGTCATCCCACTATTGTTATCGCACCATTATCCCATCTTCATCGCTTTTTATCAGCTACTTATATTATAATATATATGTATATATATATTAATTCTATATTCATTCTTGTCCAAGGGTATCCAGTATCATCCATCACTGGTGGTGTAATGCAATGTGATCCGTATAAATCTCCAAATGATATCCCCATTGCATAAGAACTCTTAAGACATACAATTAAATCGCAGATCCGACTCCACGTTATTCCACGACTATTCTATATGTAGTATAGGAGTAGCGGACCAAATTATTTGCCTCAATTTCATGCCTTGCAGAAATTAGGGTCCTCCCCTATCGGTGTCACAGCTCCATCTCCCAGCGGCTCGCTACTCACGGCCAAGGACTCATCAGAGGCCTCGTGTCCAATGATCCCAACAAATGAACACATGATAGATCTGATAGAATATTATTGTAAATTCACGATTCATTGAAATCAACATCATCAAAAGTCATAAAAGTATGTCATTAGTATATTTAGTAACAATTTAGTATTCATTAGTGATTCTTCTTATTATTTCTCATTGACAGAAGCGATTCAACAGATGTAACAGATGCGATCCGCGAAGGTGGCGCCCACACTGCCGCGAGCGGAGCCGCGAGCGGCCTCCCAGAAATCCAACTTGCCTTTCAGTCGGATGCCCTCTGCCTCTGCAGACCACAACTCCCGTACGGATGTAATACAAAAAAAAGTAATCTACGTAAGTTATATATATGGTGATAATATGAACCTCAAACATCAAGCAGTCATCAAATTACACTTTGGATCACAGTGATTCACAGTGTGTATCCACGGGACATGATGGGGCCAATTGTCATCATATGTCATCATGCTAGCCGGAGGAATACATCGAACCAGGGGAATGATGCTCCGAGTGTCTCGTGATGTCTGCACCTCGTGATGCTGCTTGCTGCTCTCCAACTCCCGACCTCAGTTGAGGCTTCGTCCCTGGCCCCCCTTGGACCCGAAAATCATCAAAAGGCTTGCTGGATTGGCTGCGCTGAGCATCATTTCGTTAAAATTACACTTCTTATCACTGCTTGACATTCTTAACATCGTCGCATCAAAATATCAAAAACTCAAGACCTTTCAAACTACAACTTGTACCTGGAGTTCAAGGTCCACACATCTCTCCTGCAGGCTGAGAACCTGTGGCATTCAAAGCACTGGGTAGTCGCAAAGAGTTGAAAAGGCTCCATTCATCCGTGACGCATGAACAACACCCTACAGAGCAAAGGTTCGCCCGAGCCCGAGTTCATAGTCTGTAATAATCTGTAACAAACCGATGCGAACGGCATTGTCTGCCGCATCAACTGTTCCGGTTCCAACTCAGTGCCTGCCCTTTCGCAAGCTCCACTTCAGCCTCCAGACTCTCTACTCGGCTCATCACCTCCAAGGGAGTGGGTGTTAAAAATATAAAAAGGAAAAACACATCATTTATCATCATTTGCTCCAAGAAAACAATATGTTCATATATGTTCTATGCTGATTCTATATGTTGTTAACGTAAGCTGCTCAGGAAATTCGAATCGAAAGGGATCAACTCACTCCACTGACGTCCACCTCTCGGCCATGCTTCATTGCTTGAAGAGTCGCCTGGCGCAATCTCCGAGGGTGAAATGGAGATGACAGTTTACCCTCTGGTAAACCTACAAAAAGCTTTTGAAAATGGCCATAGAAATAGTGGATTTTCCCATTAAAAATGGTGATTTTCAATAGCTATGTTAGTTTACCAGAGGGTATCCGATTTATCCGATTTATCCCAGCACTCGGATGTACTCAGTACACAACTTTATCACATCTATAGATCTCTAGCAATTTCAAAATATCTTCAAATCATTTCACTTTACCAATCTATCCAATCTTTACCGTAGCTACGATACTTTACCAGGTTTTTACTATGGCTCAACCATGCTCAGCTGTGAGATTCAGCCACGTTTCGCCTGCGCAGCGATGGCTTGGCTCCGCAGCTCGTCGATGACGCGCTGCTTCTCCGCCACTTCGTCGCGGACGATGGCCACCTGGCGTTCAGCGGAAGGTGGCCAGGTGTGGCTTGGGGGGTTAGGGAGAACATGGGATCTGGGAGGAAGGGATCTGTAGGCTACTATAAATGATGGCAAGACTACCAGGTACATCCAGGTACCACATGGTACCACTATGTCACTATATGGTACCACTATGTAATTAACACTGGTTCAAGAGTTGCAAAGTGAGCATTCAGGACCAAGGACCAAGCAACGACACAGGCAAGCTGCCGAAAGACTTGCAAGAGTCAGCGAACATTGAACATGTCTCATGCATTCTCATGCGAAATGTGTGAACTGTGAGATACTGTGAGGATGCGAGCCCGAAAGCCTTAAAGCCTGAATGCAAACGATGGCATAGCTTGTCCAATACAGCAAGTTGAGTGTATAATGTTGTCTGTCAGATTTGCGGTTCCTCTTCATGTTCTTCATGACCATCGACTCACTTCAACTGTTGCTTTACAGTACGCTGAGGTCGGCCGTTTGATCCTTTTGTGCTTGAGCACTCTGCATCGAGTGCTCACAATGAAAGGCCGGTGCATACTGTGCAGGTTCAATCATCCAGAGCATATCACAGAAAAACAGGGAAAAATATTTATATAGGCAACACAGCCACGATCAACCAGGAAGCAACGCACTTGTTTTTTTCTTGAGCCATAATATGTCAGACAATGTACAACTACTACAGGGCACACTTTACAGGGGAGTAAGAACAGTATTAATTACTATCCCGTAAAAATACCCCCCGTATACTGTAGCTGCTTGGCAGCTTCAGTATAGTTGTGCCTGCAGTACGCCGCCGCAAAGAGACCTGAGTGAACGCAACGGTTCAAAGCTACACAGCTAGGTCGGATGCATGTTGGCATGGGTCTTGCGGATGTCAAGGTAACGTCTGGCGAATGCAAAGGCTCACATATTCCTTTTGCGCCGAGATTGGGCTCGAAGTTGCACACAGCATGGCCGTGGCTCCCGCCGGGCATCTTCAAATGGAATGAAGGAACAATACCATTCCTGTGATGTCACTCCAAAAGGATACCATGGCAGGAAAAACTGTACAGCCATGAAAGGTGTGAATTGATTTGACCCTTGCCTTGAACATCCAATCTTATGGCTTGAGAAGTGATTGAAGTAAATTTTAATTCATTTAAACTGTGCGGAAGTTTGTGCAATGAAGTTCATTTGAATGGAATAATGCATAATATGCGTCAAAGCTTTGGTTTGTTCAGTGGATGCGATGCCTGCCAAGTTTGTCATAGACAGGCATGCCTCCCGGCAAGCAAATTTGAAAAAGGAAAGATATGACCTAAGCGTCAATGCGAGTCATCCCATAGTTCAGGTCCAGCGCCAGTACCAGCCTCGCTGTTGATTCCAGTACCACGTATAGCGGTAGCCCTGAACCCAGTAGGAATCTCCTTCAAAGTCACCGTAGGCCACACCTCCCGGTGGGCTTCTGCCTTGCTTGCCCTTCCCCTTCTGCTGTCCCTTTCCTTTGGTCTGTCCTCCACCTTTGTGATGACCTTTTCCACCACCGCCTTGGCCGTAAGGACCGCCGCGAGCAGGCTTGCCAAGATTTGGCTCAAATTGCTCGTGATGGGGTCGTTCATGATCAGGTCGGCTGATGGCTGCACTTGCATGAGGAAGACTGACCTCCCGGTCGTCGCCGGTGGTTTCAGACTCCTTGTGCGTCTGTTGGGATGCAAAGTTCGACCATTGCAGCTTGCTGAACTCCACCAATTCCTTCGCGATCTCCTTGGCATCCGAAGCATCAGGCACAAAGTCACGATTGCCCCATCCATAAACAATGGGTAGAGGCCTTTGCCTTGGCTTGATGAACTTCGCCACATAGACTGCGAATTGGCCAATGTCGAGAAAGACGCCCCGATGCGACACAAACACCTCGGTGTGAAGATCCAAGGGTTGGTCGGGCTCCCGCTCCGACGATGGCACAAAGATCAATTTGGTGGCCATCTCAAGCTTCTCGCCAAGAACCTGAGCTTTGGTTCGCTCAATGGTCGGGCTCACGCAGCCAGCCAAACGCTCAATGAAGAGCAAGGCCTCCGGCACCAAGTTTTGATTCGCCGCATTGAACTGAAAGAACGGGTCGCGGACGAGTCGGTCAACAAGGTCCTTGAAGCCCCTTTTCTTGAAAGATCTGACGTAGTTTTTGGCCATGTCTCTCAAGTTGCCATAGGTGCTTCTGGTCCGGACGGCTGTCGAAGAAGATGATGATCCCTTCTCCGGCTGCCTGGCTACTCTGCCTCTGCGCGGGTGGTTGAAGATCACCTTGTCCATGGAAAAGGGCACTCCTCTGGTACGGGCCATCGCCTCCCGGCGGGCAACTTCCGTGGCGATGTTTGCATCGGTCACGGGTTCCATCTGCCGGAAGCAGCGCGGGCATTTCAAATGCCCATCCATCATCAGATATCCGCAGATCGGATGGCTACAGCGCACCTGAGGCGTGTCTTGGATCTGGTTGTAGGAAATGTCCTTGAATTGCAACTCAAATCCGTGTCGACCTTGCCCTCGGTTCCAATTTCCACCACCGGGTCCATTCCGTCCACGACGTTGGAAGCCACATGCATCCGTGCTTGTCATGGCGGCCATCTTTCCAACGGTGTAGCCGGACACCAGCTGAGAACCTGATGCCGGCTCACCCTCCCGGGTGGCAGTGCTCTTTTCGACCTCAATGTCTTCACGCCTGGAAAAGGGGAGGAGCTTGCCAAACTCAATGCGCTCTTTGATGCCTTCAAAGTTCAACTGGGCATTTTCCATCAACATCTCCATGCGGCTCATGAGAACATCCGACGGATCAAACTCGGCCTTGGCCTGCTTGAGGACTTCCTGGTAAGCCTTCCGATGGTTGACATAAGCCCTGTTGATATAGAAAAATTCGCCCGAACGCATATCAAAGGCGTTGATCATCGGCTGGTTCGAGATCCAGTCTGGCGACAGGATGGCCTCGTCAGTCGCGAAAAGTTTGTAGCCCATTTGCATCATGAGCTCCATGTCAAACGCGATGGCGATCGGCCTCCCGGCCCGCGTACCTTGCAACTTTTTCATTTCCGCTTTCCAGGGCGGAGTGGAGTTGAAAAAGTTGTGGGCTCTGCCCGTTTTGTACGGGAATCCGCCAGGGATCAGGCCGTGCTTGGTGATGGAATTGAAGGCGGCTTGGTCACAGGTGTGATACACCACTCTGGGAAACTTGTGCCACACAGGCGAGCCTTCCGGCATCGCGGAGAAAGCGGGGTGGACCGATGGGTCGTCAATCTTGGTCTGGTCGAAGTTCTCATCAAAAGTGAACATCGTTTTGATCATGCTTGACATCCCCCCTTGCTCCACGAGAAAGGCCCGATGACCCTGAATGGCCCTGATCCTCACTGGCGTCCACCTGAGCTTTCCGGACGACAAGCCGTTCACCTGGACTCTGAAGCGACGCATCGGAGAGTTGCGCACGACCATCAAAACTTCTTCTTCTCGAAGGTGCGCAAAATCTCCTTGAAGATGCCTCACCAATGCCTTGAAGTCCATTGACAAATCAGTCCTCCGAATCTCAGGTGATGGCCTCCTGTGAAACAATCGATGGCCACGGAGGTAGTCGGACATAGCATGGGAAATTGATCCAAGCCTTCCGTAGTCCACCTTGCGCACAGGAACTCCTGCCATGTTGTCCGGCTCGATCCAAACCAGATCCTGTGCTGTGGCAAATTTCGACGTGTCAAACTGCTCTGCACTTGGCCCATGTCCCTCATCCACCACCTTCAATCTCTTTGGCATGGCCTTCTTCTTGGGCTTGAGCTTGGAAGTCGGGTCAGAAGGCGTGGCTCCCGCCGACGCAGCTGCAGTGGTGTCCGTTCGCCATGTCTTTGCAGATGAGGTGCTCTGAGCCATCTCAGTTTTCCACGTCTTTGCCGATGACGAGCTCTGGGCCATCTCCGTCTTCCAGGTCTTCGCTGATGCCGTACTCTGGACCATCTTGTTGCCCTGATCATCAACATCCATGGGCTCCGGGTCCCCCCGTGCATCAGACTTCGAGGCCTGCATAGAAGAGACCTTGTCGATCACGGCCATGTCGTCATCGTCATCATCATCGATCGGCTCTGCCTGCCCCTCCTCAGCGTCGTGGAACTCCTCTTCATCGACAATCTCCACCGAAGCCACCGTCTCGAGGTCGTCAAGGTCCAGCTCCTTTTCCTCTTCATGTACTGGGTCACTGGCCACGACTCCCGGCGGGCGTTTGTCATCCTCAATGAGGTCCCACCCTTTGAAGTCCTCGTCTTCATCCTCGGCCGCATAGGTGGCATCTTGCCATTCTTGGTCGTGCTCCTCTGATAGGCCTTTTCGCCTCGCCAAAATTCGATCATCCATGGTGAGGGCCTTCACTTTGACAGCCTCATCGTCCGAATCAGCGTTGTCATTGTGCATGGGTTCCAATGCTTGGTCCTCTTCAGGAATGTCTCGCATCCAGGACTCGACCTCCCGGTCGGCAGAGGCTGTGGCGCTCTCCTCAGCTTGAAGCACCCAGTTGAAAATCTCGACATCTGCATCCAACATGAGCTTCTCAGGATCAGGTCGCTGAGGAAGATCTTTTGGGGAGGATACATTCGAATCGATTTCAAGCTGGTACGCGGCCTTGAGGATGGTGAGATTCGGGTAGTTCTTCTGCTCCTGGAGATCGTCAATTCTTGGGAGCGTTCTCAAGTGATCGTCGACGCTGATGAGCTTGAGGTAGGCAAGGTGGCAATCAGCGACGGCTTGGAGGAAGTTGGTGACATACTTCCGGTTGATGACGTCGTCCTCCAAATGCACCTTGTCATATCTCACAGTTCTGGCAAGCATCAAGGTGGTGTCCAAAGTTTGAATACCATGGTCCTCTCGCAGTGCCCTGATGTGGACACGCATGGTCTCATTGTAGGCCGACGGGAGAGCAAAGATTTCCGCGTCAGCGTTCCCAACGACCACGATGTCCAGGATCCGGGGCTCATCACGTTTGAGCTGGC